AAAAAATACTCTTGATGATCATATGTTTTAGTGAATTATAGTTACTAAAAAAGGCTGTTCAGTTTTAGATAACTCATCATTACAAAAGCGGTACTATTTGTGTAACAGAGATTCCCCAGCATTAAAAATGGTGTGACTCATCATACTCCTGTTTCTAACCTCCTCCTTAAAGTGGCTAAATGTTTCAGCATCAGGCATTCTTGTTAGGGAAACTCTGAAGTGCTGAGAAAATAGAGAGGAAAATACCACTGACAGGAAGGAAAACAACCACAAAAACTCATGTAATGTAGACAAAGGGAGTAGTAACAAGAGCAAGAAAAGGACTTGGGAATAAAGAGGGCCTCTTGAGGGGTGGGGAGAGGAGGAAAGGACTATCATCAGGAAGCCCCACAGGGATTTGAAGTAAGACATTTTGCTGCTTTAATCCCAAGCAATTACGCTGGCACTATCTCCTGTTGCACAGAATGTGACACAATGAAAGCCACCCACACTATTAAAAATGAGAAGGAAAGACCTATTCGGTGACACCACGGCAGCACTATGAAACTTCCCAGTCCTTGCAAGACAAGGCAAAAGCTTTTATTTAACGTTCTGGCTTGTTGAGCACAGCTTCTCCTTGTGATGTGCCCCCGTGCTTACAATAAACAGCTTTTGGGGTTTTCAAAGGCCTCAGCTTTGCTTCAGTGTGTTTAATCACCTGCGAAAGCTGTTTATTGCCTTGTATACTTCCCCCATCATGAACATTATCCTTTAAGTATAAGGCTTTATGGTGAGTCTAAGCAGGCCAAATGATGCAAGGGGACACGGCCCTATCAAAGCTGTGTGCAAGCACAGATGAAATAAATCTATATGAGGACTGCAGAGCACGAAAGTGGGAAAGATAAGCTACAGTAACACAGTGCAATGATTTCACAGGCACTCAGCTTATCCTTTAAAATACACCCTTGTTTGTTGAGAGCCACGCTGGCAATCTCCTACATGACTGTCAAAGAAAGATGTATGCATTCAAAGAAAATTATGAAGGGATCATGCTAGACAAAGCCAGAAAGGCTAATAAAGGGCATTTGTGTGTGCTTTACTTCTGAAGGCTTCAGCTAAGGTGCTGTAAAGCAGCTGCAAATATAATGAAAAAAAGCAGAATACTGAGAAAGTATTTAAATGAGAAAATGTGGTATTACACAGAGCACTTCTGTTATCAATAGAGAAGGACTATGTAAAGAACCCTTTCTAAAAGGATATCAAGACCAGGAACAAACAATCAAAGGCTTTTTAATAGACAAGAGTAGTTTTTCCTCCTGCGACAGGCAGAGATAGAGAGATGGCTGAATTCCGTTCAGGGACCGTTACGTATTTTCTTGCAGGTATTTTTACTTCGGGTAAGAACATCATAATATCTAGGCATGTTGCTACCAGGTTTGGTAACAAGGATACAAAATGGTGACCAGCATAACATCAAACACAGAGTGACAGTGATACATGCCCTTGTTTCAAAAGAAGCCTCATCTCACTGGAATTCCTGACTTCTGCGTGGTCATGTTTTACAGAGAAAATGAAAACCCCTCCCCAGGGTCTTACAAAATGGAAAGATAAAGCTGACATAAATTGTATGTTGGAGGCAAAAGCATTGGGCCAAATACCTTTCCTCGCCTTTAATGTCCTGAAGTATTTCCACCCAGAAGGCATTTTACAGCTGTTGACAAGTTTGCCAATTCCTACTCAGTAGAAATTATGAATTTACTGCTCCCGTGTGTGGGTTTTTAAAACTCTATTTTCCTTTTATTTAGAACTTTGGCTGCTAAAAGACCTTTCCATGCCAGGAAAATTCTCACTTCTCTCTTATGTTTTAACTGAGCTTTTGTTGCATTGTGTGCATTTCTCCATTTCTCCCCTAATTTCTTGAATTATTGTATTCAACTCTAAGAATTTTTTAACTTCCATTGATTTCTCAAACCCACACTCAATGAGTTCTACTGTAAAAACATAGATTTAATAGCTAAAAACAATAGTTTGTTGCACTCCCATTTATGCTATTTTTTATTTCAAATGTGTTTGGCAAAATGAGGTTTTGTTACTCCATAGCAGTATATAAGTAGTTAAAATATCCATTGATTCCTCAACTACAAGCAAGTATTACTTGCTATCCCCTTCCAAATAGATCCCTTTGATTACCAGAAGCAACTCCTTTGAATGCAACAAGATTCTGTGTTAAAGCAAATCAAACAAAATTTGGTTAATGAAAACAGATGAACATGTAGGCCAGTGTTGGATCCTCAGCTTGAAAAGGTTGTGCAGAAACACAAACCCATACAAAGCAGACTCCAGAAGTTGTGAATTAAAGTTGCCTGCAAACCCTAACAGGCCAGATTAACAATCCTACTGGTTTCTGCAGGTAGGGCTCCTTAAGAAAACATAATTTGGGTAACTGTGGCACAAAAGACCACTCAATGTGCTACTGACTTTAGGGATGCAAAGTTGCAAAAATAATTAATCTTGGGGTTTTAAGAAATATAAATCAGGATATTCATCATTATTTCACTATGCTTATAAGATGATCAGTTGAATTAGTAAGCTAAAACTGATGGCATTTGAAGCAAGTAGTGTTGCAGATGCTAAATAACCGGTGTAATCGTGAAATCAGTACAGGTTTCTATAAATTCCAATCTATCATGAAAAAATATATTTCCAGTGAATGCTTTACCCTTTCATCTCATCAAATTTGCCTAGCTACCTTGAATTCACAACACATTTACTGTGAGGTGTCAAACACTCTGAACTGCTTTATAGTCAAGAAAGAATGGGAAAATTAATTTCATTAAACTGCAAGCATCTAAAAAATAGGTTTTCCTTACCAAAAAAACCAGTCATTTCCTCAGGCTGTTCTCAGATGCCTGTGTTACAGCAGATGAATACCAGTTAACCTTTCTGGAGAGAAGTTAGGATTAAAGTAACTAAAATCTGCTCAACAGACTCAAAGCGGTGTTAGCTGACAGAGCTTTCTGGAGGTTTCTAGTCCAGTCTGCTCTAAGCAGCACTATTGTCAGTCCTGCCTAAAGCAATCCTTGGCTTTATTTGGCTCAGTCTTTCTCATGGACTTTGTGTCAAAAAGGAAGAAGAGGGTGTGCCTTGCACATAGTCCATGCTCAGTATCTCTCACTGAATCCAGTGTAACAAAGGATACTTCCTACCTTTCCTTGGTGCCTTTTGTGTGCATTTGTGGAAATGTGGCACAGATGCAGACACAACTACATGAAGGATGATGCTAAATTTTCAGTTGTGGTTACTGAAATCCCATAAGCAGCCACAAGTCCTTTCCCCAGTCAATGCCCCATCCTGAAGCCATCAAAAGGCAGCAGCAGCAGCAATTCCATTTTATCAAAGCTAAGTAATGTACCCACAAGACTCAACTTACATATTACAGCTAAGTGACAACTTTCAGTCACAACCACCCTCCTTCAGATGGAAAAGTTTTTTCCTGTGCTTTTAAAACAGCAGATAATGCTGAAAAGCTAACCAGCAAGTGCTTAGATAGTTTGTATTTGTTGGCTAGCTGCACAGAACTTCCTCTCCCTTCTTAGAAGTACTACTGGTAATGTCGTATTTGTTACCGTATGTTGCTAGCAAATGAATTAAATTTATGACTTAACCAAGCATGAAATTATGTTTTCAATAATAATCAATAAAAGCTGCATAAACTGGGGACAATTACATATCTCACTGAAGAATCCAGTTTCACCAACGGTGTCCATTTCAATCGTTAAATAAAGTGTGATTGCCTATCTATAGTGCATCGAGACAGAAAGCTGATAGCCCAGTTAGCTTCAATGAGCCAATAGAGGATGCAGGTCGTAAAGCTTATTGATTGGGCTCAAAATACCATAAAGAGCTAATGAAATGTAACTTTCATTTTGCAAAGAATTGCAAAATACATCTCTCTAATGCTTTGTGGTCTCTTGCTAGCATGGCAGATCTTGAGCACTATCCTCACTCCGGGATTGCTGTTCCAGTTTCCTTCTTGTTTGCAGGCAGTTTCTGTCTGCTCTAATTGTGTACTGGTCCTTACGCTCTCTGCAGTAGTATCATTCTTTTTCATGGCTTTTGATGTGCAAAGCTCCTCTTTCTTTCTGTCTTCTCATGCCATTAAAAAATGACTGCAGTCAGACTAACAGTAATATTTATAAAGTTTGTTGTAATAGTTTGACATACTCAATATTTCATCTAGCACAGCTGCTTTATTCTCCCATTACATACACCAGATGCTGTAATATTGCTCCTAATTTATGCATGGAGCGATCGGTTAAAGGCTGCTGCGCACATCACGCCGTGCAGCACCGGCTTTTGGTTCAGCAGCACAGCTCTCCAGTAATCACCTCTCTGCTGCTCACAGGAAATCGACAGTCCCAAACCTTCTAAAGATATAACAGATGGTATCTGGCAGAGGCAGGAAGAAAAGTTTAAGTGCTGGCATGCATTTTGCTCCCCCCAGAAGCTGCTCTTTTTAGGTATCTCTTCAGTATATAGCTCATTGCACATCCCTTTATTCCTGTGATTAGTTACGCAGGGCACGATGGTGCACTAAAAAAAAAGACTAGACAAAGGATTTTAGATGTTGAAACAGGCACATGGTTTTATAGCTAAAGGGCTTTCAGGAAAAGACCAGTCTAAGTGGAAGAGGATATGAGCAAAATCCACTGGCCAAAATAATACTTAATCCTTTCAATGTGATAATCAGAGAGCCCAGAACCGAGGCATGAGACTGGACTGAGAATACATCATTATTGATGGCATTATCAGAGATCTGGAAAGAAAACAGGTTTTTACTCAAAGAATGATGGAGATGCAAGTGAAATACTCCCTGACTTGTGATGATCCCTGGGTTATCTAGGGCCTTGTAGAGGTTTTCATTGGCACAGCCTTCAATGAACAAACATATTGTGGAGTCTGTGGTGAAGAATATATTCATAACTGTGCTTCTGATTTCATATTTTTTGCTTATTTTGTAGGGTATGACAGGCAATTGGTAGCAGTCCAGGCAGCAATACATACAACATGATAGTTGTTGAGAATGAAGCGTCGGCCCTTTCATGAGGATGTTATGCCTTCACTTGCAGAGGTGAGCATTCATTATGAAGCTGATTAAGGCTTCTTCCTGCTAAACAGTTTCTCCTCTTCTCCTGCACTGTTTTGGGAGAGTAGGAATAGGAGGTGCTAAAGCAGCTGGACACATATAAACATCTAGGTGATATTTGCAGTGATATTCTAAGGGGAACTGAGTAAACCTTCAACTTCAAACAGCATTTAAAGAACATGACATTTGGAAAAATATCAGTCCATTCAAATATCCTGAGCTCTTCAGGCAGAAGTTTCACCCAAACCATGGAGAGGAATGCAGAGCTGCCCACCATGGCTGGTTGAGCTCCTCACCAGCTGTGCAGTGCCAGCTCAAATACCCTGGTTTCACAATTCAAGCCAATAACCTCTGCTTGTTCTCCTCTGAGCTACCTTTGATACTTCTGAGCAGATTCTCTTGTAGTGCACCTTTGGCTTGTGAGACCACATTGCTGGAAGGGGATTTTAGCTGTGATGTTGCTCAGTACAATAGTTCTTACACATGACCTTGCATTGCATTTTGCCTTGGTTTTCATGAGGTTTTGTGATGATTAGCTCCCTAACTTGAATTCATCACAGTGGTAAGAAAACAGCATACTATTTATGTTCAAATACTTCATGTAGAAAATACATGAAGAATGAAAACCCTTGGGTGAGACACTCCTTGGGTACATTAGGATTTTTATCCAAGCTCTATTATATTCTTATTACCTTATTAATTTTATTTTGCCTATGATGTTAGTTCTCAGTGCTGTGCTCTCTGATGCTTACTGAAAATGATGCATATCTGCTGGAGAAAACAGCAGCCAAAAACTGATGTGCAAAACAGTGATGTTAACAGTGGCAGTCTACAGGATATGCATTTTCTGTCTTTAAATATACAACTACGCCTGAAATTCCCTGTTTGTTACAAAAACTTTGATAGCTGCTGCCTTCACAGAGACACACTACTTGCAAAAAGATATCTATGACAAAAGATACAGCAAATAATTTGTTATAGTAGTAACTAGCTGGTTGTTCCCTGCTTTCCGTGCACTAACTCCAGTATCTGCTGGCCAGTTTTATCCAACTTTGACAAAGAAGCAGGTATCTCAGTGTTTTGTGAAATTGGGTAGAAGAAAGGACCAAACTGATTTTGTACTGAGGAACAGGCAGGTAAAACTCAGGCATTACAGACTGCTGTTAGCAGCAGCCAGCTGGACAATCAGAAAGTGCATTTGCAGGGCACAGAGGAACTTGGAAATAACCACAGCATTTTCTGCCTTTGTCTTCTAATGGAGGGGATCTGTGGAGTAGTGGAGAAGTGATAATGGGGAACAGAAGCTATAAAGAAGCTTAAAATGAGATTCTGTAGGAAACCAGGCTGCACTATTTCTTCTGTTTATGGAACACTCTGTTAACAGAAGATTGTCACAGAGGCCTCCCCAAAGGTCAAAAAAGATACAAAAATAGTTTACAACCAATATGTAGCTACTTCAAGGACTGAAGATATTTGGGTGGTGACAAATGGTTAAGTAGATGGCACAAAATTCTGCACAAGAGTAAGGACCACTCCATCTGAAATTTGATCATAGATGCTGGCATACATCCCTGTGCTTCCAAACAATATCCTTCTGTAAATACATATATATATAAAAGGAGTGCAGTGTAAATTCTATAAAAAGCCTGGATACAACATCCATCTGGTGATGGATAGACAGTGGGCTTACTTGCTCTGAGGAGATTTCAAATAGAAAAGATAAAATGCTAAAGCCTAAAGTTGAGGTTTAGAGGCATGGATTTACTGTTGGGTGGCTGATGAATCTGAGAATATCTCCAATATCACTGCCTCTCTCCATGCCAAATCCACCTTGGTGTTGAGGTTCTAGGTGCAGAGCTTATCTCTCCCTGGGTGTTCAAATTTGTCTCTGAGCAATATCAAACAAGGAGACCCATTTAATGGTGTTTCTGTGCTTGTAATTGAGCAATACCTAGTAAATAGCCCCATATGTATCAAACAGAGCTCCACATCCCAATCCATCTTCAGGCTACTGAAACCATGGCAGCCTGACGTTTTTAATGAAACACTGAAAGAAAAGATCAGGAATGTATATTTGCATTAAAAGCTTAAGTCACTCAAAACTAGCTATTAATGTCCATCATATAAATAACATGCTTTACCAAACTAAACACAAAAGTACATTTATTTGGAAGGGCTGTGATGTCATCAAAAGTACATTTGTGTGATTAAAAATAATTCACATTTTAATCCTTTTTTTTTTGCTAAGCTTTTTTGCTTAGTCCATTTGAACGGTATTTTGGGTAGAGGTCTCAAATAGTTCTAGATGAAATAGGACTAGATAAAATACTTAGTTAGGGCTAAATACTTAGTTAAGGCAAAGTATCTTCAAAGGAGCTTTTAAGTGCTACCTCAGCGCTGCTGTGCTGCCCTTGGCATCGCCCTGGAAGATGCTGTGATTTAAAGCCATATCTGTGATGTATTTCTTTGCACTGTTTGTGTGGCAGGGAATGGAGGACTGCAGATTGTGAGTACAGGGATTTAATACTATCAGGAGCAAATTATGATGTTGATACGCTGCCTCCAGCTGCTGGCAGGGCATAGAAGAAAGGGAATAAAAGGTATACTCATTCCTTTTTGCTACACATCCAGGACAATAATAAGGACAATTAGTCCTTATTAACTCTTGCCCTATTAATCTTCTCTTCTTCTTCTTCCCCTTCCTCCTCACCAAATACGTATACCTCAAATGTATCTACGTGGCAAGATGCCATATAAGTTAGTGCATTCTACATAGCACCCTCTCCTGCTGAATAGCTTCCCTGAGGCAGGTGGCACTGAGCTGTTAAAATAACTGAAGAGTGCAGCATGCAGTATATTTTTTTCCTGAGCAGGATGTCACAGGTTAGAGATCAGCACTACTTTTATATGTATCTGTTGTACATTTTCACCTTGATTCCAAAAGCAGCTTTGAGCTAGTCAGACCTTGTGCATTCCTAACATCTTTCCTGAAAAAACAGAATTAGCTCTTAATAGTCACTTCAGATGCTCCAAGTGCCTGTGAAACCATCCCCTCAGGGTGCATCAGCACCGTATGAAATTCCTTCAGATGGTTTCAAGTTATGATGCAAGTTACACAAATTAAAGTTCAAGAGAACTTTACAGAAGCCATCCCTTTACCTGTTCACTGCACTATTTAGAGCTGGAGCTGATGCAATGGAGCCAAAACATAAATTCACAAAATCAACATTGTTTTGACTTCCCTTACACATGATTCTGTTTATTCAGACTGGTGCTTTAATCAGTGTCTTACAGTTACTTATAAGGGGACCAAGAGCATTCTCAGGTTGGAGACAACACCGAGCTGGGCAGGAGTGTGATGTGCTTGAGGGTAGGAAGGCTCTACAGGGGGATCTGACCAGGCTGGATAATGGGCTAAGGCCAATTGTATGAGGTTCAACAAGGCTCAGTGCCAGGTCCTTTACGTGGTTCACAGCAATCCCATGCTCACAACAGGCTTAGGGAAGAGCAGCTGGAAAGCTGCCCAGAGGAAAAGGACCTGGGGGTGTTGATCAACAGTAGCTGAACATGAGCCAGCTTGTGCCCAGGTGGCCGAGAAAGCCAAGAGCATCCTGGCTTGTAACTGCACTAATGTGGCAGCAGGAGCAGGGCAGTGACTGTCCCCGTGTCCTGGGCACTGGTGAGACCACACCTCGAATCCTGTGCTCAGTTCTGCGCCCCTCACTCCAAGAGAGACATTGAGGTGCTGGAGCGGGGCCAGAGAAGGGAATGGAGCTGGTGCAGGGCCTGGAGCACAAGTGTGATGGGGAACGGCTGAGCGACCTGGAGAAGAGAAGGCTCAGGGGAGACATGGTCGTTCTCTACAACTACCTGAAAGGAGGTTGTAGTGAGATGAGGTCGGTCTCTTCTCCCAGGTAACAAGTGACAGGACAAGGGGATGTTTAGATTGGATATTAGAAAAAAGTCTTCACTGAAAGGGTTGTCAAGTATTAGAACAGGCTGCTCAGGGCAGTGGCTGAATTGCGATCCCTGGAGGGATTCAGGAGATGTGTCAGTGTGGCACTTAGGGACATGGTTTAAAGATGGACTTGGTAATCTTAAAGCTCTTTTCTATCCTAAGCAATTCTGTGATTCTACAGTGAATTTTCAGCTTCTGAAAAATTTTGGCTAATAAACTGCAGAACAAACCTCACATGTTCGCTCATCTTTATCTGACTGCTGAAATGACGAAGGATAGGATACAGCTTTAGAAAAAGGAGGTAAGCTAAGAGTGTCATACACATGCACACAAAGGCAAACATACAAACATTTTTCCTGTAAGGAAATTGTTGTAAATTGAGACAGGAAAGATGAACTGGATCCTAGAAAAGGACGTAACACATTGGTCATTTTCTACTGATGTATCAAGATTCTACGCTTTATTTCTATCCTTCTATGCAAGTTTACAAAAGGAAATGTTTCTTTATCTTAATCATAGTTAAAACAAACTCCCCAATGATTTTTGGTGGTCAAGTTTAACTTCCTAGTTTTTCAGTTTGAAAGCTAAAATTTCCATTGTCAGACCTACATTGATAGTTTGGGTCGGTTCCTTGTTCAAGGACACAAGCAATTGCTTGATAAAGAAGCTGGCGGTAAAACTGTTCAGTAATAATTGCTTTCAGCTGAAAGTTACATAAACCAAACAAGAGTTAAAGATTCAAACACCTACCCAAGTGACACAGGGGCTACTACACATCTGAGCAATACTACTATGGGCTGTGATGTTTCATCACTTTCTGTACAGGAACAACATATCCCAGATAGAAAAAGGGTACACACAAAAGGCTTATTTTCTCTTTCCAGTTTTATTGCAAGACCTGCAGTCCCCTGTTATACACAGTCCATTACAGTAAGAACAGCTTCCTACCCCCGATTTATGTATGTTTTCCTGCTGTGCTCCAGCATCATCTACTGATGGTTTACTCAGCCTGTTAAGCGACATGCAG